GGGGGTGAAATGAAGCATTAAAAATAATCAACTTTAAGAATGGATTTTTAAGAAGGGTTATACATTTAAAATCATTTCTTAACTACATTCAGTATAACAAGCATAGGTCCACATAGTATTATAGCATGCATTCACATGTATTTCTAGATGTGTGTAAATTTTTAGAGTATTGAACTTCTAGAAAACTAGAATCCAGTTATTTGAGGTTATACACATGAGCTTTTAGGGAGCTTATAAAAATCATAACCATCTACCCTAACATACAGTTGTAAAAGAAGGAAATATTTTTATTAAAATATAGTGTATGAGTTGGTAAAATTTTTAAAAATTTATTAAAAATAAAGGGAGCAAGATTGGGTGTGATAGTGCTTAATGGGAGGTGGAGGCAGGAAGATCAAGAGTTCAAGGACAGGCTCTGCTAGTGGGTTTCAGGCAAGCCTGGGCTGTGTGAGGCCTTGTCTCAACAAACAAATGCAGAGGAGTATCTGGACAGAATTGATGATGACAGACTAAACTTAAACAGGAGCTGGTTGGAGGAAAGAAAAGGAAGGACATTCTAGAAAGCTGGTAAGGCCAGATCCATTTCAAAGATCTTCTAGAGCAGGCATGCGCCCAACCTGTCCACATTTCTGGCAGTGACGGCCACTTCCTTCCTGCCCTCTCACTGTTTTGATTCACTGAAAGAAACATATAATTCCTTGATAAGAAACATAATTGTTGGTATGTTCATATCTAACTACCTAGCAGCTGAGATCGCCCTACTTAACTGTTATTTTGGCTATAATTTAAGTACCTAAGTTATAGAACCTCCACCAAAGTACAAGTTATAGGGTGTAAATTTGTGATCTGAATTCCCTAAAGATTTCAGTAACAATATCCTAGGAATCTGTGTGTTCATTTATGTACAGTTTATAAAAATCTATAACAAGATCTTATTGGACCTTCAGTTAGTAGAGAGAATACAAAATAAACCATTACTGGAGGGTTTTCTCTTTTGTGAATGTTAGCATTGCAATGTCCCGTCACTGTGATCAGAAATACAATTTCCGAATTGACCTAACTTATCACAGTAGAATCATTTTAAATTTTGCTCTTGTTAAAAAAGCACAAAAATGGAAATGAGGGCTCAAGATGCATCTCATTTGATTCGATTCTCACTTGGCATTCATAAAACCCTGTTTTGATCCCCAGCACCACACTTAAAATCCCAACAGTTAGGATGTAGAAGCGGGAGGCTCAGAAGTTCAAAGTCAGCCTCAACTACATAGGAGCTGGAGGCTAGGCTGTGATACAGGAGGATAAAAATCAAAACCCTTATCAGTGTTCTCACAGAAAGCACACACCCAGGTGATCTCAAGCAAGCTATCACTGTAGAAATGATAGCCATGTGGATTAGGTAGAAAAGACATTATTGCCACATGGGCAATTTGCAAGAAAAATCAATAGATGAAGATCTTATTTCTAGTGACTATGAGTGTAGAAACCTAATATAAACTCATTGGATAGGTTCCCCAAATGTAAAATGGTTCGCACTCAGTGTGCTCAATAAACCCAATATAATAACCCCAATGATGTTATCCCTGTTGATCTCATTGTAGTAGGAATGTGATATTTAGGATCAGAAACTACATGGAAGTATACTTACTAGAGTACTTGGAATGCATTTGAAAAATAAATACAAAGCACAAAATGATCTCTTTAATGCAGCAGTACATGGGGGAAATGACAGAACAGCCTATATTGCTTCTTAAAATACATCCCAGAGATGATGCTGTTGTAACACATCTATGTTTTGATTGTTCCAGGCAACGCTGATCCTGAGGGCCAAGGTTACTGCCAAGCAGGCTTTAGCCTGGATTTTTATAAGGTGAATTATTTGGGTTTTTGAGCTTTGGGTATGGATAACGTTTTTCTGCTGTTGCTCTACTGTGGTTTTACCCTCCATCTTTATTCCCATTCTCCAAACAATACCAGTCAGTAACCAAAGAAGCTTTGGGGGCATATGCAGCCATGTCTGGCAACTTCTCTTTTAGATGTTTTTCTGCTCTTTATTTTAAAATCCATGTGTGTCATAATAGCATGGAAAAGCATACAATGAGAGCACAGCTTCCTTCCTAACCCTCACAGCAATTATCTTCGAGTGAAAATCTAAAAACCTCAGAAAAGAAATTTGTTTCTAAACAGAAACTTATTTCTAAAAGAATTTATAAATTGATCATTTTATCACTTATTGTACTTGTGTTGATTTAATATTCATATCAAATTTGCATATCTACTCATAAAGTGAAAAAAATTTTGTGCAAATATGAAAGAAAATTAATTGATACGTTTAAAAATAGTGCCGAAAAGAGTGCTAGAAAGATGGCTCAGCAGTTAAGAGCACTGGTTGCTCTTGCAGAGAACCCAGGTTCAGTCCCCAGCACCCACATGATGGCTAACAACCATCAGTAACTCCAGTTCCAGAGGAACCAATGCACTCTTCTGACCTCCGCGGGCATTGCACGACACAGGTGCACTTGCATATATGCAGGCAATACACTCAGGTACATAAAATAAAAATACTACATAAAATATTTTTAAAAAGAAAATAGTGCCAAACAATTTCATTGATTCATTACATTTTTCTATCATTGCTTACTTAATTTTTTCTACTGAAAGTTACAGATTTAGGCTACAGGGAGTGGATTGTATGATTAAAAATGTCTATATTTGCTCAAATGTAGCTTTTGCTCTCTTTCTTGAGAAAGAGTAGGTTTGCTGATATTTTAGGGTTTTATATCTATGTATTTATGGAGGTGGCCACAGTGCACATTTTCTCTCCTATCACGTGTTCCAAGAATTGAACTCATATTGTCAGGTTTGGCGGCAAGTGCCTTCACCCTCAGGGCCATCTGCCTGGCCACACATATTTTTTAAAGTAGGCATTATTATGGCCTTGAAAATAAATGAAATGAAATTTTCTCTTTGACAACAAGGTTTTCAAAACACCATGCCCATTAAACTGTTAACTTAATGTAGATACTTTGCTTAGCAGCAGCCATGCAAAACAAACAAACAAAAAGAAAACCAAAACAAACAAAAAAACCCAGAACTTACATAGTCTCAAGGCAGAGTTCAATTTGCCTATCAGAGTCAAATTAAAATGTTTTAACTTAAAACACTAAATAATTTAAAACCTCTTTAGAAAATTGTGGTTTTATGAGTCACAGATTGTTAAAGCTTACTAGCAATGACTTAGCACCTTTAAAGGGTGTTTACTACGTCTTTTCTCATTGTTCCCTTGCCACTTCTGCTTTGCAGAATGGAGACCTCATAGTGGGAGGACCTGGAAGTTTTTACTGGCAAGGTAGGTTCTGTATCAGAACTTCTGTCGGAAAAAGCACATTCGTTACTAACAAAGAGAAGCAGACCTGCAGTACATGCTGGCTTTTAATAACAACATTGAGTCCTAATAGACAGAGTCTTGAATGAAGTATCATTTCAATTTGAACTTTGCCATATAAATGGTATTTTAAAAATGTTCTTCAACTTATAGTTCATTTCTCCACCAAGGAGTTCTTGAGATTATACCAAGCTTTGTGTTAGATGCTGGAGACAGGATATGGATGAACATGGATGAACATAAGACAGGATGCTCAGTGGGGCTTGCTGGGCTCCAGTCTAGATCTAGCTTCATCTGGGTATTTATGATGAAATTATTTATGAAATTACATTAAAATACAAATTTAATTATATTAAATTTGATTCTCATATATAATTGTAGACATCAAATAACATTTCAGTCTCCTAAAATTATTTTGAAAACTGAAAAAAAAAGTCTTATGGAAGAGATGGATATGAAGTGAACATTGTTCTGCTTATAATCATTTTCCTCTAATCTTGGTTTATTGTATAATTAATTTCCTTATTTAAACTAGAACAATGTCTAAAGTGATCTGATGGTTGTGTGCAAAACATGCAGGAGTTTTCTGAGATGTGGAATTGAAAAGTTTGCAGAGGCTTAAGATAACAGTGTTTATAGACTTAGCTGAAGGAAACAACAGCCAGTATATGGGAGGAAGGAAGAGGAATATTGAGCTATAATTCAGAGAAAATTGGCAAATTCTACTGACAGTCTTCATAAATTCATGTGCAAATATCATTGTCTTACTATCAGAACAGTCATTTCTGTCCCAGTCACTTAGAATATTTATGAGTTGGTTTGGCTACATTTTTTTTTCTTTTCCTAGACTTCAAACCAAAAGACTGTGGGAATTCCCAAAGAATAATTTGCCTTTAATTTTGATGTTAAATATCAAGCTTTCAAAAGCATTTCTCTAGCTTCATCTCAAAGAGCAAGAGGTAACATTTTTTTTCCTTGGACATCCATAATAAATATTGGAATGAATAGAATTTTCCATATGGCAGAAAACTGCTGGCAATCTCTTAGATATTTGTGTATCTGAATACAATCATATTTCAAAAATTTTGAGAGTGACTTTGAGAGAGATGAGCCAAGGTTCTTATCAATGTTGGTGCCATGAATTCCTTTTTTATGTGAAGTTTTGGATCTTACTGGACGTAGCCACTTCCTACTATCATAATTTTGTGATTCCTGTATAGAGGTTAGTATAAAAAGTAAATGGCTCAAGGATTATTTAGATCCTTTAATTTAACTGAGATTTTTTACAATCTGTTAAGTAAGTGATTTCAATTGAGTTCTATATATGTGCTTTATAAGAAAGCAAAACACCTTGGTTGTATAGCCAAATGTCCCATTAGCAAAACCATGTGACCTTAGAGAACACAATCAAGTTCTTTGAGCACAAGAATGTTATATGAGGCTAGATGACCTCCGGGTTTCCTTTTAACTAGAACATTATAGAATATATATCCTTTTGAGACAGGGTCTCAAAGTTCAAGGCCCAGCCTGGTCTTGAACTCGCTATGTAGCCAAGGATGACCTTGAACTTTTGATCCTCCTGCCTCCACCTCCCCCAAGTTCCAGGACTACAGGTGTACATCTCCATTATCATCTTTATGTGGGGCTGGGGAATGGACCCAAGGATTCCTGCATGGTAGACAGGCACTCTATCAGTTGAACTACAACTCCAGCCCTAGAATAAAAATGTAAATATAAATGTCCTTTGAAAGTGTTCTCACTTCTTGGTACTCTTGTCATTTGAAGGTAGAGGAAGGATATACAGGAAGACAGATAAACTATTACCATTAATCTCTGGCTTTCTATTAGGAGGAAAATTCTACCCAGCTGTAATTATCTTCTGTCTTTCAGTACTAGTTTCAGGCAAGGACCAATTCCTTGATAGCATTTAAGAGAGTGTTGGTTTCAAGTCTGATGAGGGAGAGTCTGTCTCTTGCATTCAATCAGTTAATGTATTAATTTGTCCCAATACAGGTCAGGTGATCACTGTCAGTATTGCAGATATCATTGCAAATTACTCATTCAAGGATATCCTAAGGAAACTAGCTGGAGAAAAGCAGACAGATGTGGCTCCAGCTTCCTATGATGACAGCTACCTTGGTGAGATCCATTGCTGTAGATACTGGTGATTCTCAAAAGACAAACAAATTATATGCACATGCAATTTTCAGTCCTGACATATCTGATGCTATTTGACATCTTAAGAAATCTTTCTTTCTTATTATTTTAAGCCCTTACATTTTCTTCTTCATTACAACTGTTTCTTCATCCATGATGTATAACATGTGTGATTCAAGCAGCACTTTCTAAGCAGCTTTTCTGCAGGTTCTTTAATAGTCTCTTAAAACATACTGCCAGTAGAATACACATGTTCAGGCAGGGCTGCTATGCAGGCTACAGGGGCAACATGAGAGCAATTTGTCCTGTTTCTACTACACCAACCAGAATCTTTCTAGACGCAAGTCTATTGTTAAATTTTATTATGTGCAAACCAACAATGGCATTTCAACACTACTGTTTCCAACCTTTGGAGGTGTCCTAGTGGTATTTTGATTGATTTATACATTAAAATTTAAATTATAGTCATGTTTTGTCAATGTAGCTGAAACCTTACTTTTGGGCTCAATGAGATTTGTAGAGTACGATCATTAAAGGAATTAGGAAGTAGCTCTTATGATCAGAAATAGACAATCCTAAACACAAAGGATATTTTTTAGGGACAGTGTCTGATGGTGATGAATCTGTAGTTCTTAAAATGCATGCAACAACTGTCACTTCCTCTTAAAGGAGGACTCTGAAGTACTCATGCTCTGAAAATTGATCTCAGAATCTGATTTTTCTACCATGTTCTTACTTAAGATCAATAATGTCAGGTCACCTTTGTGTTTAGAATCCTAAATATAAAGTATAAATATATAAGTATAAAATGTCCACATTGGTGTGATTTTCCCCCTTTTATTAAATCCTTAACTTTTATAATCTTTGTATAAATTTCTGAATAAAATAGTACCATGGTAATGCTTCCATTCATTTCCTCAAGATAACTCATTTCTTGTCAAATGTGATTAATTTGTGTCTTTAATACAGGGTATTCAGTTGCTGCCGGGGAATTCACTGGAGATTCTCAGCAAGGTGAGAGACTTAATTGAACTTAAGTCATTAAAATATCTTTTTGATTTATGTATTTTTATTTTATTTGTATAAATATCTTACCTGAATGCATGTAAGTCAACCTGTGTGTGCAATACCTATGGAGGCCAGAAGAGGGCATTGGGTTGGAACTGGAGTTACAGACAGTTGTTAGCTGCCATGTGGGTGTTGGGAACCAAACCACTGAGCCATCTCTCCAGGCCCTTAACTCATTTCAAAAGCATGGAGAAAAGCCCAATGACACAAAACATTATATTGTAAATGTGATTGATTTTCTTTGTTATGTAAAATGTATGTAACTGGAATTCCAACATATATGAAAATATTTTTTAGAAAATGTACACATAGTAGCATAGCATTTTGTTTCAAAGAATTTCATAAGTATCAGTTCCAATCCTTATATAATCTAATTAATCAATTAAAACTTAGAGCAGTTGTCCTGTGTTACAAATTAAAACTATACAGATGATAAAATGACTTAGACAGCAGCCACACTTTTGTAACAGATCTCCCATTTTAATTTACAGCATCACGTTTTGCACGTATCTAAAACTATCTTGTTCACCTGACTCCAACCACCATGCCAACATTGCTTCTCTTTCCCCTTTAGACCTGTCCAGTCTCCAAATAACAGAGCAGACTAACCCCCATCTCATAGATGTCCATCATTTTCTATCCTCTACTTTTAAATGTGTATCCATTTCTGTCTTCTGATAGCCAAGTGCTTTTATTTGATCGTTTTGGACATTTTTCAAATGTCATGTCCAAAGCTCCTTGCTTAGCTTCCTTCTGTAAACTCCTTATCATCTTTTCCTGTCTTCTAAGTCCTTTGCCACCCATTCATCAGTCACACATTTTTGTATAGCCTCTGTGAGCCAGGCTCTTTTAAGTGCTGAGCATACAGAGACGAACCTATCGTCCTTAATCTCAGAGTTTACACTATCCTGAGGCTGAAAGACACAGAACACCTAACTAAAAGCTGTGGTAAGTACTAGTGTAAAGTTCTAAGCATAGATTAAGGAACTCTGGAGATGAGGTAGCATTGGATAGGACCTTGAAGGATGGGAGAGAGTGCCATCAAAGGGGAACTTTCACATGGCAAACTCTGTAAAAGCAGAAGTGTTCAAGGAGTTAATCTGACTAGCTAGACTTTGATGATGGTTCATGAGATTGAGACGGAAAAAGGGAGGGAGGACCTAGATCACACTGGGTCTTACAGGCCATGGAATTCAAAAAAATTGCAAAATGCAAGGGGAAAAGCCGTAAAAGACTTAATCAGAGAAGTAAACGCTGTCCAAAACAAAGGAAAAACAAATGCTTGTTCATCACATTTGATTGGGAAGAATAGCATTACATGCAGTCTTTTCATTTTCACATCTAGTTTCTTGAAGGTAAAATCTGTATCTTGTTTTTATTTATCTCCATTCTAAGGACTAAGAATATTCTGCTCACAATGGACCAATACAAGAAATAGCCTGATATTAAGAATTGAAATTTTGAAGTCAATTTCAAGTTCTGGCTTGACTAACAGTATTCCTTAGACCCTAGAAAACCTTCAGATTCTCATTTTCTTATCTGTGAATAACACTAATACTACCTAGTCTGACATGTCATTTGGAACATTGCATGAGTTAATGCATGAAAAATACTTCTTACATTCAAGATGATAAACAATAGCTTTTACTTAACTAATAATACTAATTGAATGATCAACTGTCAATCAATATTTGCATTCTACCTTTTTCATATGACACTGTTTTTCATTAGTGCAAGTATCTTGGTTAATACACAGATATTTAAGCACCAATGATATATGGTCATCTCTAGGGTCATGACAGATCTTTTAATAGTTTCATATTCACATGTACATAAAGCAAAATTTATAAAGATAGGTTTATTTTGCACTTTGGTAGAGGTTGAAAATAATGTTTTCTTTAAAAGTGTTTTTCTTTTAAATACAGGCTAATTCTTAATGACCCATTTTTCCATTATTTTTTCTTTTCCTAAGCTGTTAAAAAGCAGTATATTGTAGTGGCTAAAGGCACAGCCTTGGGTTTCTGAACTTCACCATTAACAGCCATGGGACCTTAGACAAGTTATCTAACATCTGGGCCTCCATTTCCTCATTCCTAAAATATAGGTGATAAATAATAGCATTGTCTATCTCATAAAATTTTTGCAAGGATTAAATCAGGGTAATGCCTGATACATAACAATTATTATTAGCCATAAGAAATAGTCATTGGACTAGAGGCCATCTAAAACAGGTTTGAGTAACTGGTACCTTTTAAAAAGTCAAATCTTACAATCACCAACTTAATGGTTAGCAAAAGAAACTATAAAACATACTAAATGGTTTTCTTTTAAAATAATGGTTTTCTTTTTTAATGGCATTAGCTCTCAAAACCACTGTCTGTTCCCACCCAGGGAAAGTAGTAGCAATGCACAAGAGCACTCTCCAGGGACATAACTATAACTTTTCACTGTATTTCAGAAACATCTAGAAAAATGCATCCAAATTTCCTGTGAGTTGAGAAAATGTAAAATAAAGCATTGTCAAAGGACATCACAAATAGCTTATCAGATCATTAAGAATCCATGGCCATCAGTGTTCATTAAAAAGACAAGAAAGAGTGAGAACTCTATGAAAAAGAATTTGAGGACCCAGGGAAATAGTTCAGAGAATAAAGTGTCTTCTATACAAACATGAAGATCTGAGTTCAGATTCTCAGCACCTGTGTAAGATGCTGGGTGCAGCAGCAAGCACCTGTAATCCTGGAAACTGGAGAGGCCCTGGGGCTCACTGGCCAAAGTCTACTGAGATGGTGAACCCTGGGTTCATCAAGAGATCCCGTCTCAAGAAAATAAAATGAGATGCAATAGAGGAAGATGCTAGACATCAACCTCTAGCCTCCATACACATGATCGTGGGTGTCCACAGAGGAGGAGGTCGGGGGAATGGAATCTTTAGGCTGTTGTTTGGTCCATGGTTAGGCCTCACCGTATTTAAATCCCTAGAAAGGGCACACAGAATTTCCATGCATTTGGATTTTTTTCTGATGACATCAATAACTGTGGGGTCTCTCCCTTCCATCGTGGGTCATTGGCCACCGGTCCATGAAGACAAAGGGAGCAAAAGCGTTGAACGGGGTCAGGACAGCCAGTGAGCACTGACGGAAGAAAGCCCTTCTGGGGAGGCAGGTTCAGTGATACAAACAGCTCCAGACTCAGTGAAACAGCTCACTCAGTGAGACAGCTCCATTTATTCAGTGGGAGAACTGGGGAAAATATAGTGTGGAGGCAGTAGCCAATGCTTCAGCTGATAGGTGCTCATAGTATGCTTTATTTACATGTGTCAGTAGGCTCCTATCATCCGACTATTGGGCAATGCCTAATTATCATATAGAAAAAACCTGGGGGTAGTTTTTCCTCCAGGTAACTATGCCAAAGGTCATGTTCCAAATAAGGTCAGGCATCCCTGCTTGGTGGCACTTTCCAGGTAAGTCAGGCAGAGAGCAGGAGGCCCCCTGCTGAGAAGGGGAGTCCTTCCATATAGCACCGAACCCCTTAGAGCTATCTGGACATGGAGGACTACAACCCTAGCAGCAGGGTTCCCCAACAAGTAACTATTTCAATTTCAAATATATTCATGACTCAAAAAGGCTACGAGCTTCCATTCTAATTTTGGAATCATATTCGATGAAGAAAGTGATCTGTCTGCCGTGGTGACCCACACCTTTAATCCCAGCACTTGGGAGGTGAATCTGTGAGTTCAAGACCAGCCTGGTCTACATAGTGATTTCCAGGCCAGATAGGGCTACAGGGACACCCTGTTTCAAAAAGACCAAAAGAAGAAAGTAATCTGGCATTAGTCAGTCCCAAGAAATCAGTGAGATTTGGCAGAACATTGACTTTGTGTCAGGTCTTAATTTGTATGGCTCAGCTATAAGCTTGGTAATGACTGACTCATCCTAAGATTCAGTCCCTGTATATTAAAATGGAATATTGAGCCACATGTGGAGATACAGTGGTACACACCTGCAATCCCACAACACTCAGGAAGCTGAGCCTGGAGGATTGAGAGTTTCAGGTCATCCTGAGCTAGGTTATAACAGGACACCTTATCTCAAAAGAAGCCATGAGTGTGTAGGGGGAAAGGTAGTTCTTCCCCAGGGAGGTAAATGAGGGAACTATGACAAGGCGTGTGGCACATTCTTTGTGAGTAGACTTTTAATAAATGTTCACCTCCTTTCTGCTTCTCAATGGTGAGTTTGATGCCTTGAATTTCCACGCCTAAAACCTAAATTTTCCCTGTATTATTGATATTGAGAAACCTTTGAAAGTTTCAACATAAGTTATTGGAATGGATCTAAAAAGTAGTCTCCTCATACTTTCCATTCTAACTGAAACTTTGTGTAGTTCAGTGGCAGCTCTGAGTTGCCTCAAGATAATCCTTACTCATTTATGAATGATTGTGAACATCTTTAGTCAACATTTTGTTTAACAGCTCCTCTGACATCTGGTCATAGGAAGTGATAGACTCCCAAAGTCATTGGGTGTGATGGCTAAACTTTTAAAAATCTTTTTTTTTTTTTTTTTGGATGTAAGAAGTAGTGATCATCCTGCATCACAGAAGGTGTAACGCCTCTGAATCTGTCCTAACCATGAGGCCTGACCCTGACATCATCAACTCCATTTTATCTCAGTTTTGTTTTCAGTGTCAAGAGAGATTTGATTCATATTAGAAAAAAAGAGGTTATTGAAAACTGGACAGTGGGATTAGAGAGATGGCGCAGATGATGAAGGCAGTGAGAGAACCCAGATTCAATCCCCAGCACCCATGTGAAAAGCTGGGCATGGCAGCATGCATTTATAATCAAAGCACAGCAGGGTGGTGATAGGCAAATCCCTGGGCTCACTGGCCAGCCAGGTATGGCCTCATCAGTGAGCCCCGTGTCCCAGAACCAGACTCTGTTCCAAAAAGTAAAATGGACAATACCTGCAGAATGACACCTAAGGTTGGCTACTAGCTTCCATAGGCATGTGCATGCATGAGCACATGCACACCCCCTCCACACATACACACATGAAATAGAAGAAATGGAGGGAGAGAGGGAGGGAGGGGGGAAGAAAGAAAGAAGGAAGGAAGGGAGGGAGGGAGGGAGGGAGGGAGGGAAAAAACTGAGCAGTATACTACCAGTTACCAGTTCTGGAAGCTTCACTGGCTAGGCAGTTGACCCAGATGGCTTACTTTTCTGAACCTTTTCTTATTTTTCAAGAACATGCTTCACCCGGCTTCCTGTTTTGTAGATGAACTACCCCATCCTGTCTCAGGCTAACCCTCAGCAGCAGCCCTATTCCCTCTGTCTCAGAGGGGACCCCAGCAATTCTTGCTTTTCTCCTGATGCTTTCTCCATCACTCCTGCACCATTCCATTAACAGACAAGCATATCAGTATTTTACCTCCTCTTAAAATAATTTTAAAAAGAACTCAGCCCACTTCTCCCTCCAGCTACTACCTCCATTTTTCTGCATAGAAAGAACTGCTGTTCTCTGCCTGTGAATTCAGGTGACAGTTGCTCCTCTTGGCCTCCATCTGTTAGACTGGTGCCCCGCCACGCCACCCACCTCAACACCCCCCTCCAGGCTCTACTGCAAGGGCACTTCTCATGCAAATGAGACACCTCCCCCTTGCTCACCTTCCTGTCAGGTGCACTGTTCCTGCTCAGTTCTGCACTTGACTTCCCCAACCCTGGCAGCCCTTTCATTGCCTCACTCTGTTGGAGGATCGAGGGCTACATTCAGAGCTCCTCCACTTCCTCTGGCCTCTATTTCTCCGGTTTGGACCGAATTCCAGCTCATGGATCCAAGTTTTGGCAGATGTGTCAAACTCCATGTGATGGCAATAATGCCTGGTTTTCCCACAGAAAACTCTTCCTGTCTTCCAAGTTGCCATCAAATGGCATTGACATCCTCCAATTTGCTCCATCTAGAAAGACTGGAAGCTGGCCATGGGGTGTACTCTTCTCTCAAACCCCATATCCAGCCCACAAACAAGCCCAGCTCACTAAGCCCTCACCTGGAGCCAGGACCAGACCACTTCTTGCTCCCCAGCAGCTTCCATTCCCACACAAGCTTCTATCACCTCTGACTTCTGTTTCTGAACAGCCTCGTAACTGGCCTCCCTGCTGTGCCTCTACCCTCTAACAGGTGACCCTCAATTCAGCAACCAAGATGCTGCTCTTGAAACAAGCCTGACTGTATAAATTTCTGGCTGGCAATGATTTCCAAACTCATCCAGCTCAGAACCAAATTCTTTACAATGCCCTGAAAGGTTCCAGTCACTGAGCCCTGATGGATTGACCTTATTCCCTACTCCTTTCCCCTTCCACCTGTCCTTTCAAGTCACTTCGACCTTCTTTCTGTTCTTAGGCTAACTCCAAACACACTTGGACCCCAGGGCCTTTGAGTTTGATGTTCCTTGTGATCACACCTCACTTCTCCCATAGCCACAGGGACTTCCTTCCTTCAGTCTTTGCTCCAATGTTTCTACCTCACTGAGACCTTCCCTGGTCACCTTGCCCTTTCCCCAGTTCAGCTCTGTACTTTATGGCTTAGTTTCTCATCAATACACTGATCTTTTTTTTTTAAATCATACCAATCCATTTTTTCAACTGACTGCCATGTCTAAGTGGAGTATAAAATAAACCTGACAGGGGCAACGAATTTTTTGTTCATTGCTGTGTACTGTGCTCAAAGAATTTATTGACTGAACGAGTGAATTTGCTACTGAAATGTTTAACACACAATCATAAGGGAGTCTTCCCTACTTATTAATGCTAACCCCATTAGCACCCAATTCTGCTAAAACACAGAAAAACACGAAAGTGAATGTCAGACTTTGTGCCGTGCCTTCAGAAGAAATGTGTACAGTGGGTAATTTGGATAGAATATGAATCTCCGTTGTGACATTTTTCTACCCAAATGAATCAAAAGATAGTTGCAAATTATAGGAATGAGAGGTGAAACGATTCTTGGTAACTGAGTATTCTAATTACATATTACAGGTGATTGGGGAAATTAGGTTCAATGAATCAACCAGGTACAAGGCTGACCTGGGACCGGAACCATTGTTTTCTGAATCTAAAGCCTAGCCCTTGGGAGCGTATTGCCCCTTTTCCCAGAATTCCTCCCCAACTATTGGCCCTTCCTTTCCAGAGTACAGGTAGCTGCCAATAGTGTAGTCCTTCCCGGAGCCAGCTTCCTGTAATTCGGGACTTGTAGCTTTCTTTAGATAACCAAAGTTGTTTCAGCATGTCCATGTGATAGGAGTCGCGTTTTACTGCAGTACCAAAGGTGTCCTCATGGTAGAAGCTGGCAAAGCTAAGATGAGAGGTTTAACTCTAAACCACATGCAGATCTCTGAAGACAGGAGGATGATCTAGAGGAGACAGGTGTGCTGACTAGCACACATGCTGCAGAGCTTCCAAAAATGGCTTTCACTTTTCTGTTTTCTATTGTCTGTAAAGAAACAACGGTCAGGCAAAAGCAACCGCACACCCTGACTTCCGCTTCCAGCCCTCTGCACTGTTCATTCACAAGGCGCAGTTTTATCACTTACTTGCTACGAAACTTTAAATATTCTGGGAACTGAGGAGATGGCTCAGTTGGTAAAATGCAATGTGTACAAGCACAAGGACCTGAGTTTGAGCCTCAGCGCCCACATAAAAAGGTAGTGTGGTGGAGCGCTCTTTATCCCAGCACTGGAGGCAGACACAAGCAGATCTCTGTGGCTCACTGGCCAGCCAGCCCAGCAGAAACTATTTGATAAGCCAAATCCCAAGGAGAGACCCTGTGTTAAAAACAAGATGGGTGGCTCCTGAGGGGAAAAAAATCAAGGTTGATCTCTGGCCCTTAGTGAATCTGCATACATGTGCACACCATACACACACACACACACACACACACACACACACACACACACACACACACACAAGTAAACAAACAAATCTGTGATTCTCCTTCTACATGACTCTTCTCATCCCCAGAATTGGTTGCTGGAGTTCCTAGAGGAGCGCAGAACTTTGGATATGTGAGTACCAAGATGCATCATGGGACATTTTCTTACATATGCATAGAAATCTTTTCCTCCATGTGACTTTAAGCCTTGTAAGTTCCTACTACTGGGCATGCTGTTTGTGTGCTCATCCCAGAAGGAAAACAAGTACAAATACAGCATGTGGATGATCTCTGGGGCTCTGTGTGAAACAAGTATGTGGGGCACATCTTTTTTTGCAAAGAGCCATAATTATCAAAAACATAAAAACCATTCCTTCAGTATGTGTATCCTCTCCTCCTTTCATAAAGACACCGGTCACTGGATTTAGACAGTACCTTTCCTCTGCAAAGGTATTTCAAAACAAGCTCACATTGTTAGTTCCTGGTGTGAGATGGATACTATTTAAGCCCATTACAACTAGCTACTAGTTAAAAAATGATATATACAGATCCCATAAAAAGCACTTCATGGGCTGGAGAGATGACTCAGTGGTTAAGAACACTGGCTGTTCTTGCAGAAGACCCAGGTTGGAATCCCAGCACCCCCCTGGCAGATAACAACTGTCCGTAACTCCAGTCCCAGGGGATCCGACAGCCTCTTCTGTCCTCCACAGGCATTGCACAACACGGGTGCACTTATCTACATGCAGGCAATACACACATACACATAAAAATAATAAAACATTTTTAAAAAAAACACTTCAGAGTAGGGGTTGTAAAGATGGCTCAGCAGTTAAGACTCTGCTCTTGCAGAAGACCTGGCTTTGGTTCCCAGCACCCACATGATGGCTAATAACTGCCTATAACTCAAGTCCCCTGCCTATAACTCAATGTCCTATTCTGACTTCCATGGGCATTGCACACATGAGTGTTCTTACATATATGTAGGCAAAATACTCATGCATGTGAAATAAAAATAAATCAATCAAAACAAAATTTAACTACTGAAGAGTATAAGGAGATTGCTCAGTTGGTACAGTGTTCACTGTGCAAACATGAGGACCTAAGTTTGATCTTCAAAACTCATGTAAAAAAGTCAGACATGATGGTAAGTGCCTGTCATCCCAGTGCTGGGGAGGCAGAGATAGGTGGATTCTTAGGACCTGCGGTCCAGCCTACGTTCCCTAACTGGCAAGCTGAGGGCTAGCAATATTCTGTTTCAAAGCGATTGTGAGGAATGAACTTGAAGTTGACCTCTGGTCTCCACATGCAAATGCACACACGTGTACGTGCACATGCACCCACATGAACACACATACACACACACAAGGCTTTAAGCTGGACATGGTGGCACTCAAGAGGCTGATGTGGAAGGAGAATCTGGAGTCTGATGCCAACTTAGACTACATAGTAAGTCCCAGGCCAGCCTAGGCTATAGCAAAATCCATGCTTCAAAAAAAAAAAAATCTAGAAAACATGTTTATAGATCTATGTATGGGTTTGGTTGAATAGAATTAAAAGCACTATTATAGCTGCTTAAAAGTTTATTATTTCAAAGAACTATAATTATCAATCCTCATAACAGAAAACAGACATAAATATGTTTACAACAAAATTATGATTAAATAAATTAACTGGCCAACAAGTTAATTATTCTCGATGTTCTTGAGTTCAGTTATTATTTGCTCTCTTTAGTAAGCATGTACTTTGTTTAAAAAGTTTAATTTCCCTTTCTAAGGTCATCCTGGGGGTTTATATTTTTGTTTTATATATAGCTAACCTCTATTACATTTCACAAAACTTTAAAATGATTTAAGTTGCAATTGTATAAAAATAGCTTCTCCAATTCTCTGTCGAATGATTATGTGTCTCATTTCTACCATTTTAGGTCTCCATCATTAACTCCACAGACATGACCTTCATTCAGAATTTCACTGGTGAGCAGGTAAACACCTTTTGGTTGTTGTTGTTGAATTATTGTTGTTATTGTCTCGAGACAGGGTTTCACTGTATCCCAAGCTAGCCTGGAACTCACTATATGTCCCAAGCTGCTCTTGAACTCATGGAAATCTCTTGCCTTGCTTTCCCCAGCACTAGGATTACAGATGTGTGCCACTATACCCAGCCGAAGGCAAAGGCATTTTAATATGAAACAGCTCATGTTAATACCATGTATCCATTCAGGAAATAAGCACATCTGAACTGTAGACACACTGGGTACAACAGTGCAGGACATGAGCAGCAGCCCTCCAGCAGCTGTGTGGGTGGAGCAAGGTGGGGTCGTTGATTCACAAACAAAGAACTTCACACGGTAACTTCAGATAATATTCAGTAAGATAAAGAAAATAAAACAGAAGTATATAATGGGTGAGGGTGTTGAGGGAGCTGGCGGGATGGGTGAGACAGTTGGGAGCCCTAAGGTTACAACAAAAGCCCAGTGACAACGAATATAAAGGCTTTCATGTAGGAATCAGCTGAGCATGTCTGAGGCTTTTGAGGGCCACAGTGGCTATAGGCAAGCAAAACTAGGTCAGAGCTGAGGATAGAGCTCTAGTCCATAACTCCCTAGATATGCCACATTCATATATAAAATTAATTAAGCTTCTTTTATTTATTTTTGTACTTGTGGTATTAGGCATAACCCAAGCCATTGCATGCATTGGGCACACACTATACCCTGACCTATATGCTCCAACCCTTGTGTTTTTTTGAGATAGCATCTTACAGTGTAGCTCAAACTGGCCTCCACCTCACGATCCTCATGGTTCTGCTTTCCACAGGCTAGGATTATAGGCATGTGTCACAGGCCCAACTTGCGCTCTGGCCTGTCAAGGAGATAAAAAGGTGGGCCTTCTAGGGAACAACTTCCTGGCAGAGAGAGAATTCTGTTCTCAGAAAAAGCCCTTTTCCCCTATATGATGCATTTAAAATTGAGAGCTAATTGAGGTCATGGATGGAATGGCCCAGAGTCTTAATGGAGTGACTTAATAATTGCTAGTGATAAGTGGCAGCCTCAGGTAGAGCAGCATTGCATGCTGGGAAGTTGCTGAGAATGACTTCTTTGAGGTCAACTACCTAGAGGTCTGCAATAACATGGAGAACAGATTCCCCTGCTGACTATATATTCAAGTATGCACGTGTGCACATGTGGGTATGTGTACAGTGAGGACAGTAAATCAAACACATCTCTGAGCATCCAGAAATTCTTGGCCAGTGACCGAAACATCAAGAAATTCAAGCTGCAGTTCCTTTCATGTTATGGCATCAGGCCTTCCAGAAAGGAAGAATCCCAGAACATACTTGGTATGTAGGACTCTCATAGCCACTGAGTTTGCACAGATAACAGACCATAATGCCCAAAGACTGCTGAGCAGAACAGTCTTGTTCTACTGCATGTGCTGTTCACTGTGCTTAATGGCAAATGGCCAGAACCTCCTTCCCTCTCAGAGGAGGCCGGCTGCTCTCAGGATCTACCCTATTGGCCAGAGCAGCCTCTCTGCCTCAGTATAACTGAAGCCATCCCATGGGCCCAACATTATATGGAGCCCTGACACACTATTGGATTTTGGTCCCTTCCTTATAGAAAGTAGATATTGCTCCCTGTCCTCTGTTTTTAGCTGAGGCCCTCTTGAGAATGGGTCAACAGCCTGAAAATAGGATGCTATTCCCCTTCTGACCAACTGTGGTCTGAGGCTTGTGTTCTCCTGGTGTTGTGACCTGGTGAAATTTACCACCTCAAGCGCCGAAGGTAATCTTGCCGTCGATGAGAGCCATGTCAAGAAAATCTATAAGCGAGGTTTTCAAAGAAACAGAAAGTGATTCTCATATCTTGTTGTCAAAGTTTGAGGTGCCAGTCTACTGTTACTGTGAGCTTTTCAATGAGGAATTTCTTATCTCTCATGGCATGCTGGTGGAAGGTATGTAGAAATGAGGCCGGCACGACTGGGAAGGTAGATGGGTTGGTAAGTTTTTAACAGCTCTTTCTAAGGGATTTGAAGTCATCGTAATGGCTTTTACTTTGGTCCACGCATGGCTCAGGCATTGCAGAGAGGAGAGAGCACAAAACAACCCCAAATCTACCTTCTATAGAATGGATTTTCTAGACAATTGTATTTCGATAGAATTAGTACATGATGGGAGATTAGGTCAACTAAAACAGCAGACTGAAGACTAAAGAAACAAAATAGGGTCTGGGGCAGTTAGTATACAGCTTGTCACACAAGCATGAGCACTATAGTTCCAATCCCCAACAGCTATGTAAAAATCCAGGTGCAGTAGTACATGGCTGTAATCCCAGATCTGGGGCTACAGAGACAAATGCACCCATGGAGCTTGCAGACCAGACAGCCTGGCTGAATTGGCAAGCTCTCAGTTCAGTGAGAGATTGTCTCAAAAACATGCACCTGCACACACACACACAAGAACACGTAGACACACACATAACACAGTGAAACAAAATTGACAAGCCGAAATAATGAACCAGTGCTGAAAAGATTATTATAAATTGTAAAAAACACACATTAAAAACCAAAAAACAATTGAGAGAAAAAATGTGGAAGATAGTGCTGTAGTAATTCCACTCATGGAAACGATTTAGGAGACACCGAATATGAGCTCAATAAAAATTACTAAATTGTGGATTTTCATAAAATTAAATTTCTTTTATGCTTTAATAAATAGAGACTATAATGTGTCCTTAACACTTCTGTCATTGTACTTACGAGTATCATCTTTTGTTTCACCATTTGGAAATGAAAGGCTAAGACAGGGCTGGATGGTGGACCATCTGCAAATGCCCTCAGAGGACACTTCAGGGAGAGGTGGAATGGGGTTTATTCTGTGGGATTCAAGATGGCAGAACCACGTACGCAAAGTGCCAGCAGTAATGGAAGAACCACCAGTAGAAAAGAACATTCTAATAGTTGTGTCCACAAATTGAATGGGGTGATTGTCAAACAAATCCAGAGGATGTACAAGCACATGTCAGGGTTATTATGGGGGAAATTATTCATTGGGTCATGAAGTTAGGCTAAATGACTAGAACATTGGAGCGAGTCTATGGATTTCAGTGCAAAAATGTGCCACAATGAGATTCATCATTCATGAATAATCAAGAACTGATTTTAAAAAGGCTTTCTGAACACAGAATATGTTATTGTATTGCAGATGGCATCTTATTTCGGATATACTGTTGTAGTATCAGATGTTAACAATGACGGGTAAGTGTACATGAACTTCCTCCCTTACTGTATGTTCTGTTCATCCACAAAGACGTTATATATTTCCTTCAGAAAATACATCCTTCCATACTTCCTGAACAGGATAGAGGCCCTCTTGTTTTAGCTTTTTGGTTCATGACAAGAGGGTACATCTAATAAAGAATTCTGTCATCTTATTTTATGTCTTTGCTGAGATTTTCCACATCTGCCACTTCTAAAAGAGGACTATTTTATTTCATTTTACTCTAACATTATTTAGCAAATTGTCATTGGCCATTCAAAATTTTTAGCCAGAGAGGAGTTGCTCAAAAGTCTCTTTTTGTTCCTAGAGGTTCCCCTCCATGTGCTACAGTCATGAAGCACTTTGTACATCAATGGATTTTTTTCTTCTTGACATTGCCTTAGCCAACATATCAGTAAAATCCATGGAGACTAAGAAATAATTTTATTTTTCAAATTATAGCAGTAAACTATAGTTGAGCTTGAACCAAACACTACTACTTAATGGTGGGTGTGTTTAAGTTGCTATTTCAAAATTAGATTATTACACATCCCCTTTGTTTCACTCAAAACACTTGACATAATTGACAAAATCATTAAGAAAATGATTAGCCATGCATAGTGGTGAGTGCAGGTCTATAATAGCACTTCTGAGACTGAAGCTGAATCGTGTGTTCAAAGCTAGACTGGGGTATACAACAAAATGAAACATGGAAGAGGCGGGAGAGAGAGAAGGAAGGAGAGAGGAAGAAAATCTTTAATTTGAGATGTACATCAGAGCATCTACTGTATAGGGCATCTTTCTTGGAACCTAGAGCACTGCACAAAGGTACATAAAACAGATAGATCTCTGCTCTGACAGAGCTTAATTTTTTTTGCACAAAGCAAGTATCTAAAGGATCCTTGCCATATTTCAGGATTAGGACCAATCACTTTATATGTCTTTGATAGCTATTTTCTCTTACATTTGAAAACATTTACACATTATGGTAGACACATGAATGGAGATCACTGAATAGCTTCTGTCACTTATGGAGGACATTTTCACTATTATCCTTTCATTCAACATGTTCCTTGAGTGTCTGCTATGCGTTGTGCATTGGTTGTGGGTGCTGTGCTGCAGCAGAGAAATCCCTAACTGCAGAAGTTATATTGGACCTGGGGAGGTGGGAGTTACAGCCAAAAATTAATAGGTCAAGCAGAAAGGCAGCATGCTCGGAGGTAAGTTTTATGCAGACGAGAACAAAAGAACTGAAAGTAAATTGGATTTCCTTAGTAGGTAGGTGAATAAATAAATGGTGTCACATCCAGAAAATGAACTTTTATTATTTTTTAAAGTGAGCTGTCAAGTCAGAAAAAGAAATATGAGAATCCTGAACACACATAACTAAGTGAAAGAAGCCAGTCTGGAAGGCTGTGTCCTATGGTTCCGATTCTGTGACATTCCAAGAGTGGCAAAGCCATGCAAACCGTAAAAAGATCTGTGCCAGCCTGGGGTCCTAGGAGAGAGAAGAAGGGATGACTGGGTGGAGCTCAGGGGGACTCTAGGCTGAGGAGCCCATTGTTACTAGTTTGGGAAATCCCACAGAATATGTAGCAACAGGAGTGAGTTCCCTGTAAACCGTGTACCTTGATAATGATTTCTGAACGATGGTTAACCGAGTGAGGTAAACATTCTTCTATTATAAGGAGACATGAGGGAGGTGGCTATCTGCCAGGGGGTAATAAAAGATTTTGGCCCTTTCTGCACAAATTTACTTTGAATCTGAAACTGATCTATGAAGTGAATTCTGCCGATTATAGATTTTAGAGGCAAACAGAAGTGAGGAGAAGGGTTATTGGAAGGGATGCAGTTTTAAACTGTGTGCGTGGGAAAGGCCTCTGTGATAACAGGAAGGATAGGGCCTTAGCGGGTGAATAAAGAAGCTGTGATAGGGGAAGACAACTGTCTTCCTCTACCAAACTCAAAAGAGCAAATTCCCAGAGGTAGGATCAGCAGAGTCACAAAGAGGTAAAGTCCAAGAGAGGCATCGGGGGGCACTCCCAGAGGTGCATGTGCTCTGCACGTGCTCCATAAGGCAGGGTGGAGGCTTCCAAAGCAAGTAGGCATGCTATATATTTGAAGGTCTGGTTGAGTACCAGTCTTATCCTGGAAGCAGTTAAAATGAAATTGCCTTCATTCAGCTGGCTGAGTTGTGAACATAAAGAGACCATCAGTCAGGATTCCCAACATGATGAACATGATGGACTGTAATCATGATGAAATGCAGAAAAAAGATAGCTAAAAAAGAACTTAAAGCTAAAACATGGCATGGCTTCAAGCTCTAGTGAACCCATTCTGTAGTGACAGCAATTCCATGGGCACCTCGACGTGCAGGGCCACATTTCTCTCTTTGAGTCACCTGAGTGGAACGGCTGTCTTCTCTCCATGGGCCTTCCCTCCGGCCACACCCATGAATAATTCTGTAACTTTTCCCATGAACTTCATGTATCTTTCTGGAGGCCACACTCTCCTCTCAGGAATCATCCTCAGTTTAGACCATAACAAAATTTTGTAACGGTATTTTATAGTACACGTTTTTGCCATAGAAAGAAAAAACTCCTGTGAGGAAAGGACTCACTGGTTTCTTGTTGGTCAAAACAACAAAATAACAAATAACAAATGCAGGAATTTTCAAGTAATTGAACCAAGCCTTTATTGAGTCTTAAAACTGCTGTGTGCACTATTTCTTTTTTTAATTAAATAGTATGGTTTGACTTGATGAAATCACTAAGGAATAGGTTCATGAACTTAGTACCTTCTTACAGATAAAGGGTGTGTAGATTGTCAGTGTGGTGATAATCTGCTGCTTTAAATTAGATACTATGAAATCCAAGGTCCTATAATGAATGAATATACTCTAAAGGCAAATGATATTGATCAAAGACAGATCCCATAATAATCTATACAACTCAACCTATACAGTAACAGTAGTGTAGATAGTTCATCTACAGAGCTAAGAAAATCACTTGGCTACCTGATCGCTCATGTTCCAGAAACAGGGCCATGCTTGTCTTTCACATACACACAGACACACAGACACACACACGCACACACACACACTCTTTTGTGACTGAACCAGACTTTCTGAACCAAAAGATTTTCAAGCACTACTGCACTGTGAGGCTAGCTAACAAAGACTCTTTGACAACATGTATATTCATCTGCCACAAAACAAAATCAAAGTCTTTACCAATACTCAAAAATCTAAACATCAGGAAAGAAAAGCAAGTATCATTAAGTAACGTTAACAAATAAGAAAACAATTGGTATTAATTTTCCCATAAGTATTTACGTATTTATTTCATAGTTTTAAAAATTGGTGCTGGAGAGATGGCTCAGCAGTTAAGAGCATTAACTGCTCTTGCAGAGGACCCAGGTTCTGTTCCCAGCACCTGCATGACAGCTACAAACCGTCCTTAACTCTAGTTCCAGGGGAATCTGAAGCCCTCTTCTGACCTCCGTGGCATTGCACGACCCTCGTAAACTCACATACATTCAGGCAACACACTCATGCATGTAAAATAAAAATAATAAATAAATATTTTTTTTAAATTAAAAAGAATTGAAAATTTAAACAAAATTATTTTATGTATATGAGTGTTTTGCTTGCATGTATGTAAGTGTACCACATGTATGTAAATGCGCCACATTCAAGCAGTGCACGCTGAGGTCAGAAGAGGGTGTCAGATCCCCTGGAACTGGAGACAGGTTTTAGCTACAATGTGGGAATTGAACCCAGGTCCTCTGAAAGAGCAGCCGGTGCTCTTAATTGCTGGGCCGTCTCTCCAGCCCCTATTTATTTATTTTTGAAGTAGTTTTTTTGCTATGTAACCCAAGCTTGCCTTGAATTAAGAATCCTCTGTCCCATCTTTCCTAGTGCTGAACTTACCAGAGTAAACGACCACGCTCTAATAATTTTATTAAGATAAAATCTCCCAGTATTATGAATAGCCTCAAAACATTTTGACCGTACAATTAAGCACATGCTGTTTAGTGGAGGATATTGTCAGATCTGTAATGGTTTTGAAACGATGGTGTAAATAGACTGGCAAAATTAACTACAGTTTAGGTATCTGGAGGCAGCCAGTGCTACAAACTCTGTGAATGTAAACTTTCTGGACAAACTTGTTAACAACAAATGGAGGTAGTATTTTTTTATTATTATTATATGGCTAAGCAAGAAAACCTGTTTGACTTTTTCCTTCTAATTTTTGAACTGTGTAGTATAGTGTTCATACTGTTTTAGAAACTCATAGAATTTCAACTGAACACACTGGACATTTCCACACCATTGTTTCTAACTTCTCTGGGGCAAAAGGAAATAATTTTAAACAGACTCTGCAGTTGGTTAAATTGAGAACATTTTGGAGAAAAACTTTCTGTAAGGGAACACCTTTGAGTGACTGTGATTTTAAGCTAGATTTAGTCCAAGTTTTTTCATTCATACCAGATAATCATAATTCAGGTAGAAATCAAGAAAATTAAAACAAGAAAGTGCTATAAGATTCATTTCTTTAACACAACTAGTTAAATTACTTTTGTTCTTGCCAATCACAAACCAGTTAAGTTGACTAGATATCAACTCCGCAGTCTACTATTCTGGATTCTTCTAAGAAGTAACTATGTTCTGAATATTAATAATGGACATTACCACGCAAGATGGACTTCTGGGAAAAAGTTCATGTATAAAATCAACCTGTTAATGATGCCACTTGGCTGCAGGAATTGAATTCAGATTATTCACATTTGATGTTCCATTCATGGATTTTCTCACACTTTACCACAAATAGTAACTATTTGTAATGTTCTGTCTCCAATGTCCTGTGAAGGGTGAGATGATGAACCTTGCATCATTATTAGGTCATTAGAGTGGATTTAGACACAAAGGAGAGACCAATAAAACCTACTTGCTGCACAGCGAGTGCAAGTAAAGTAAAACATAAGACATTTCAGATGA